CTTGTACCGTAGAACACAAGTAGCTAGACATTCAAGTTCATCTGTTCTTCTCCAGTCAAGCTGGAATTTTAGACGCTTGTATCCAGTTTTAATGCATGTCTTTATCAGTACGTTTACATGGACAACAATATTCCAATATTAATCCGATTAAGACAATACTCTGATTAAGAAACTAGCATGTAAACAGCCATTTTTGATGACCTTAATCGACTAAAATCATACTCGGGAGTATTCCTGTCTTAGTCGCATTATCGACGTGCATTACAGACATGTACACACCTTAATCACATTATTAGCGGCGTGTGGGAGTTTTCGCCGCATTTTGCGACAAGACACGTACACACAGGGCAGCGCTCAACCGTTTGACGGCAAACAAGAGAGCACGGCTGCATCCCAAACCGTGTACTTACCTACTACAGTATATAGTACGAGAAATACATGTATCTCAGCTGCTATATAGTAAGTATGTGGTTTAGGACGCAGCCCACGGCTTCAAGCAGTCATCTATTTGCACGTACAGCATGACAAATAATTATCTAATAATAATCTTAAAATCAATCTAGTATAGTTCATTAAATTATAAGAAAAGACATTACTTATATTCAACCGTCCTGTTACGTTATGGGTCAGTTTGACTTTAAGTTTTTGACTTTAAGTCATGAACTTATATGGAAATATTTCTTCTTATGGCTTGTCTGAGACAAGGTTTACTGTTTTAAGCGGTTCTTTGCTGTTTTTTGTGTGTATTTCAAATGTGGAAGTCATTCTGACCCATAACATAATGGATGTAACTTTTTTTTCCAACATAATAGGAGGGTTAATAAATGATTTAAGTAGCGATTGGCACAAGCTGAATGGGGTTGGGGGCGGGGCGGTGAGGGCATTAGGGCAAGACATTAGAAGCCACATGTGAATATAGCGTGGTTGGACAGACACGTGGTTGGCGGGACGCAGGACTATCATCAGACAACTGCAGTGGAGCTGCATGCCGTGTTTTCATGAAGTCGTTCCCCAGACATGTCTGATTTGGGATATTTTTTGTAACCCAAAGCGGGGCTATATCTGAAAGGAACAGCTCAGAGGTTACGCAGATTGTGTCGTCTAAACGACCGTTTCTCTTTTCTCCCACATCTTTTATGTCATCATTTCCCCCTGATCAGAGCTCCTGTATGAATGAAAGTCGCTGACTTGAGCACTCTGATAAGATTTATTTAACTCGCCTCCAAAAAGCCATTAGACCGCAAAACTTTTGAAGGAGGAAAGTTAGAGAAAGATTTTGTGTTCGAAGCAGGCTGTGTCTCTGTTCTATTATCCTGCCAAGTCTCATACAGTATATCTCTGACACACATTCACACATGGCTTCGGCCCATTGGAGAGCAGGAAATCTGTGGGAGTGAAATAGTTGTTTTTTTTTCGTTTTTTTATTTGTTTATAATTCCCGTCGCAAACTCCAGCTTGATTTTTAGACAATGTAGGTCCTGTGCTTTATTAGCATATACAATGATGGAGTGATCACTCCCACACGGACGTCCTGCTGTTCTTCATTTAAAACAAGGCATTTATTGCATCCATGCGGCTCAAAAGACGAGCGCACTCGACCGTTAATGCACGCACTAGGAGAGTCATGAAAGAAAATGAGAGAGAAAAAAAAATCAATCAAAGGCCTATCTGTTAATAATGTAAGATGTGAATCATCAGGCAGATGACAGAGTAGCACCACAATGTGCTCACAACATGCAAGTTCTCAGCAGCATAAGATGGAAATTATTACAAAAACAGGGGCTTAAAGGTAGAATCTGGATGTTTTACAGATGCAACATACAGTATATGATCGGTGCTACTCTTAAAGGAAAAATCCATTCTGAACAATCTGTATACGATTGGCTAAGGCTTTCCTATAATAATAATAATAATAATAATAATAATAATAATAATAATAATAATAATAAGAATAATAAGAATAATAAGAATAATAATAATAAGAATGAGTCTTTATTAATCACATATACATTACTGCACAGTGAAATTCTTTTCTTTGCATACGCCAAGGAAGTTGGGGTCAGAGTGCAGGGTCAGCCATGATACAGCAGAGAGGGTTGAGGGCCTTGCTCAAGGGTCCAACAGTGGCAGCTTGGCAGAGCTGGCGCTCAAGCCCCCGACCTTCTGACCAATAACCCTAGAACCCTAACCACCAAGCCACCACTGCCCCTGCTATATTAGTTAGTTAGTTAAAGTTACATTTATATTGCGCTTTTCTAGATACTCAGAGCTTTTTGTATGGTAGAACAGGATGGGGTGGGGGATCTCCTCAACCACCACTTGTGTGTAGCATCCACCTGGATGATGCGACGGCAGCCATAGTGCGCCAGAACACCCACCACACGCCAGCTATTAGTGGAGAGGCGAGAGTGATGTAACCAATTCAGAGATGGGGATTATTGGGGGGCCATGATTGAGAAGTACCAATGGGGGAATTTCGCCAGGATTATACCAGATTAGGGTTATACCGCTACTCTTTAACGAAAGAGTTATATTACCCACAATGCTGTTCGGTGGTTTCACCAGTGGAACTTTCTGTGTGTTCAGGTCATCCTGTGAAGTTCGTTCAGGTCATCCTGTGAAGTTCGAGTTGGGAAGTCGTAAGTACGATGTCAGGTGTGACCAAGTCACTTTGGTCGGAGCAACATGGCGGTGTACCTACTATTAATTAACTACAAAAAATACAGCAGTGTTGTTTTTTTTGTTTTTTTTAACTCTGAGTCAAGAAAATGAGAACCAAGAATGCCAATAAGGTATGTTTAACTTTAAAAAAAAATGTTTTTAATCAATTTATGAAGCCACTGTAAACCTCAACTTGGGGTTCAGTGTCTTACCCAAGGACACTTCAGTATGTGGAATCACATGGGCTGAGAATCAAACCAACCCTACGATTAGTGGACAACCCGCTTTACAACCTGAGCCAAAGCTGCCGCAAACTTGTAAACACGATCTTTCCGACATGACTTGAGCACACCGTTTATCTCCACCTAAAGAGAACGATGCAGCTGCGCTTTAGTCCTTTAGTCTGTCCAGTTCTCTCACCTCCTCATGCTAATATCACCTTCGATGCAGTCTTGCACATCGTCTCGTAGATCGCTAACTAGCTGAGCTGAGTCTATGGAGTAACTCAGTGCAACTGTCAAATAGCTGCAGCGCTCTCTGGGGGGTTTGAATACAGCATTTGGACCAATGTCTCCACTACTTCTACATTGGAATTCTCATTAACATGACATCCAACGTCGCTGGAAAATGGTGAGTGAGAAAAGAAGCTCTTACTCTTTTGGTTTTAGGAGCAAACAGTGAAACCTGACTGTTATTCCTAATGGTTGAGATTTGTGGAGTTTTCCTTTCAAATATTCCCATTAACGAATTCATGGCATCACAATAGTGCAGTGGATAGCATTATCCCCTTTCAACTCCAGATTCAGGATCAATCCCGAGCTCAGTTTACTGTCCGTGTGGAGTTTGACGTGTTCTCCCTGTGTCCACATGGGTTTCCTCTAGGTTCTCCAGTTTCCTCCAACCTCCCGAAAACACGTGGATGGGCGAATTGGATATTATAAATGGAGAAGACTTACATATTCAATCATTTATTAAATTAGGTCCATTTTCACAGGGAATACAGGAAAATGTTTAGAAAGCTACCGAACCAAACCAGGCTAGCGAACGATCAAACTGTATTGCACTTAAAGGCACATGAGTGCAGCATTAATAGATTTCTTCACTGTGTGACGAGAACCTTTGAGTGAATATTTGCCTTCATCCTCACATTTAAAGGCTTATCCAAGTACTTACTTTCTGTGGTGTAGATGCATTTAGCTATGCTTCAGTTCCTGTCACAAGCCACAAGCATCAGCTGTGGTTTCTACCATTAACACTGACTCGCCGTTTACTGGAAATGAAGAAAAACAAACAGCAAATAGATAAGCCTAATCAATCCACGGAGAAATTAAAGGACATTGTGTGTTTTTATGGGATGCATTGGTGTGATTTCTTATTTCTGACACCCCTGTTTGTTTTCTCTCTGGTTTGCGAGATGCAACCTGGCGCTAAAAGAAAGGATTCTGTATTACAGTCAATCGTCTATCGCTCGAGTCACCTTGTTTGAGATTATCTTTAGTCGTAAAGATTGTAAAATAGCCAAATATGGACTTGTTGTGTTGTTTTATTTCTATTGATGATGCCGCACGTATCACATGGCAGTAATTGGGAAATGTGATGCCCCATGAATTAGATCCTGCATCAGTTCCACTGTATTTCTCAGCGTAATGCTCTGGTAATCGAATCGTATTGGATGTCAGCTCTGTTTAGGGGAAGAAAATATCGACTGCCTCTTTGAAAAGAAACGAGGGGGGAAAGCAGCCCACGAGGCACAGCGAAATACACACAATCTCTTGATGTGCTCAAGGACACAAAACCTATTGTGGTGTTTTATGCGTATTGTATTGTGTTTTGTGCAGTGTCTTAATAATAATAATAATAATAATAATAATAATAATAATAATAATATCATCCATCTTCTATACCGCTTTAACCTTTTCAGGGTCACGGGGAACCTGGAGCCTATCCCAGGGAGCATCGGGCACAAGGCGGGGTACACCCTGGATAGGGTGCCAATATTATTATTTTAATGAATTTGTCTTTTGTGGCAGTTAAGCAAGGAATAAAACACTTGTGGGGGAAATAATCAGTGACTGGGCGGGGTGATGTAGTGTTTTAGTCATTATTTTCTTAAAACCAGATGCAACATGTGTTTCTTTTTCCTCTTATAGTATAGTAATATTGCAGTGGTTACAACGTGAATATATTAATAAACAACACATTGTGCATTTTATCTCTTCATAGTTACATTTAATGCTGTGGAACATCCGTGAGACAAGTTACTTCCTATTATCGTTTATGTTATAACAGCTGTTCCGTCACCAGCCTCTTTCTTTACTCTTGATAATAATGATAATGGGGCGCACGGTGGCTTAGTGGTTAGTGCGTTCGCCTCCCACCTCCAGGGGTTCGATTCCCACCGTGGCCGTGTGTGTTCGGAGTTTATATGTTCTCCCCGTGCTACGGGGGTTTCCTCCGGGTACTCCGGTTTCCTCCCCCAGTCCAAAGACATGCATGGTAGGCTGATTGGCGTGTCTAAAGTGTCTGTAGTGTATGAATGGGTGTGTGGGTGTGTGCGTGATTGTGCCCTGCGATGGACTGGCACCCTGTTGGGTGAAACTGCTGTTATAGAAAATTAATGAACACCTTGTGACCAATCAGAATCGACATTTCAACAGAGCTGCTGTCGGGCTTTTTTTTTGGCTCTATTTTCATTGGTCTTTGTTTGTTTATTTCTGAATTCATATTTATTCTCACGATAGTAAGTAAAAGTACATTTTATTTATATAGCACATTTAAATGCCCCGCGATGGACTGGCACCCTATCGTGCCCGATGCTCCCTGGGATAGGCTCCAGGTTCCCCCGTGACCCTGAAAGGGATTAAGCGGAATAGAAGATGGATGGATGGCACATTTAAACACAGCAAAGCTGATCAAAGTGCTGAACAGAGTAAGAGAAAGTAAAATAAAAAACAAATCAAATAGAGACAGACAACGGACATGAAGCCTCTTTTTAAAAATGATCCTTGAGGGTGCTAGGCATCCGCCAGTGGCAATTGCTGTCCAGTGGCAATTGATTCCATAAACGAGGGGGTGGCGACTGAAAAAGCTCCATCCCCCTTGGTTTTTAAACAGGATCGAGTGACATACAGAAGAAACCTATCAGAAGATCTTAAAAATCAGCTGGATGAATGAATGTACACTATATCGCCAAAAGTTTGTGAACACTTGACCTTTATACCCATATGTGCTGTCAAGTTCATCCCAAAAACAAGTGATCAACGGGATTGAGGTCAGGGCTCTGTGCAGGACACTCGAGTTCTTCCACTTCAACCGTGTCTTCATGGAGCTCGCGCGGGGCACGGGGGGCATTATCATGCTGGAACAGGTTCGGGGCTCTTCGTTCCAGTGACGGGAAATCGTAATGCTACAGCATAGAAAGACATGTTATCTAATTGTGTGCTTCCAACTTTGTAGCACGAGTTTGGGGAATAAATAAGGCTGCACGGTCAGGTGTGGAGCAGCAACATTTTCAACATGCATTGAAATAAAACGTTTCATTAGATACTAGGTCCTGCGATGGACTGGCACCCTGTCCAGGGTGTACCCTGCCTTGTGCCCGATGTTCCCCGGGATAGGCTCCAGGTTCCCCGTGACCCTGAAGAAGGAGTAAGCGATAGAAGATGGATGGATGGATGGATGGATGGATAGATACTAGGTCAAATTACTTTTTGAATTCAGCAGGATCTTAGATCATAAATAGCCTAGATTAGCCTATATAATAGATAAAAATAGTCAATGGGAGGGGAAAAAAACGACATTATTAAGCAAATTAAAGGTTAGAAGGTGACCTATAATTAATGTATTATAGGCTACAGTACAGTTTGTCTATATAAAAATGACTCCTCCATGGAGAGAATATTTGGTGGTCTATTAAGTGATGGCCTTATTTTATATGGTCTAATGCACGCACGCGCGCGTGTGCGCGCGCGCGGCTCTCAGGGGTGATGAGCCCGGCTAATTGCAGTACTAATAAGCTGCGTAGATCTGAAGGTCTGAAGAGTCGGCTAATTAGGGGTCTGAATTCACGTGTAGCCTTCTCACTGCCCTTTCAGACAACACCAGACATTTCAAGAAGTGTCTCAACCCCCTAGCTACGCGTCTTCACCTGACAGCCGACCCACAATTCAGTGCGCGGAGCATAGCTACTTGTTAGAATGAATTTCGAGAAGAACTCACGGGACGCGACGCGACGCAGTGCTGTTTTGTTTGCATCATCGCGGCGGTTCTGACGTAGTGCTCGGGCTCTGTGTCGACGGGACTGCATGCGCGTGCAGCGTGCTCCGCGCGTGAACCGAACCAAAGCGCTAATCTGAGGATGAGGATGAGGATGAGGATGCGTTGAACGGGACAGCCGGCGACGTCAGCGATCGATTCTCTGGAGCTGGTTTATGATGTGAGACGACCGGCTGCACTTTGCAGAGACAGCGGGGAGGAGGACCTGCATCTCAGCGCGGGAAAAAAGAAATCAATTAAATAATAATAATTTTAAAAATCCCGGTAAAGACGCCGCGCGCTTGCAAGCTTAAGGATCCGTTTATATGTCATATAAACGTTAATGCATTCATGCACGCGCTGATTCGTCTTCAAGCTCTCATCGAAGACTGAAGCATGCGCCAGTTCGCGCTGGACGTCGGGACGTTCGTGACTCTGTGCACGGTGTGCGTGTGCGACGCGTCGCGCGGCTGCGGGGAGATACAGTGCGGCGCGCGAGCCAACGGCAGCGCCACGTCGGCCGGCTGCTGCGATTTGCCGCTGCGCACTTTCGCCGAGCACGCGAGCTGGCTGGCTCGGAAGCTGTCCGGGCTGCTGATCCTGCTCGCCCTTTTCGCCGTGGGCTACTTCGTGCAGCGGCTCGTGTGCCCGCGTCACCGCCGTCGCGGCCGCGCGCCACCGGAGCCCGAGTCGCTGTTAGGGGCGCGCGCCACCGCGTCGCAGGACACGTTGCTGGAGCGTTTCGAGGACGGCGGAGGAATGGACGGGGTGGACGGCTTCACATCGCCCGTGCTGCAGCCGCCGGCCTACGACGAGGTGAAAGACCTGCCTACGTACGAGGAGAGTGTGCGCGCGGCCGGGGGAAGCGTCAGGCCGGCGGCAGCGGGGCGCGAGAGACCGGAAGCAAGCCGGATTTTCAGAAACTCTGTTTGACGGGCATTTTCCTTCCTCAAACAATACACAAGTCATTTATTAATTCAAGTGCAATTATACAGTGGGGGCGGTGTGTTTTAAAATGTAGGTGAGTCGCGCTCGTGACCCAGAACTTTTCTAGTGTTGTGTTTCTTTTTATATGCTATTTATAAGAGAGACTATCACTAACCACCATACACACTCTGGACTGGGGGGAGGGGGGAGGAAGGGGGTTGGTGAGGTAGAATAGGACTAGTGAGATTTGTGGAATGATATTATTTTTCAGTAAATGCAACTGAAATAAATAATGTAACGCATATTTACCACAGACATTAATCAACGACGCGAGATGTAACCCAGAAATATTCTTGCAGTTGTATCTCTTGGGCCGGAGACTGTGAAACATGCCTAATACATGACCTATTTCGTTTAGTTTTTGTCTTTTTGTTTCTACACAATAACTGAGACCAGATGGAAAATAATCCGCATGCATGTGGAAAAAAAGAAATGAGTGATTAGGACTCGGGTTAAACCAGTAGCCCGCTTCAGAACAGCTGTACAGGTGCCTACACATCTGGGAAGGAAAAACTGAGGCATACATAATTCAGTTCAGCTGACCTTAAATTGGCATAGGAAACCGGGCTCTTTGGTTCATCCAGATGTGCAGCAAGTGATGAGGAAAGCAGGCGTATATAATATTGTAATTTCCAGCATCAGTGTTTAATAAGCTATAGTAGACTACTCGCTTTCTTTTCAATGCCTGGATATTCTAAATAAAAGCGCTTCGATCCCAAGTGCGATAAAAGCGAGTTTTAGTGGATAAATAAGCTTGTGATGTTACTGATCAAGGCCAGTGGTTTCATGCAGTTCATTAATCCAATTCCCTGTGTCCTGTATCATGTAGCGTTTTGCAAAGTGTGCTTGTATCTACTAGGACAGGCCAGTAATGCACAAGGCTTTAACGTAAACACATTACTCAGATACGCGCGCGGTCGTTAGGTTACTAGATCTGATGCATAAAAATGGTTTTGCCAATTAAACGTTGCAATCCATATCAAACTTCCTCTGTAAACAGACAATTTGTGCCAACAGTGCAGTTATTCAATACGGCTCTAATAGGTCAAATAGAGGAAAAATTGCGCCCAGATCAATGGGCATAATGGAGGCATTAGAAGAGCGGGACTTTGGTGTTTCAGCTGTTTTTGGAGACTCGAATACGGTCCCCCTCTAAAAGTGCTTCGAAAAGTGTTTTAGTTAAAAATGATCAATTATATATTCGAGCTATTCTTGCGCATGCACACCTTGTTATGGATTTCCGCACTTGGATTGACCACCAAAACCGAGTTGAGAGTCTTTGACCTTATGGAAAGTGCCAGTGCCCCTGTGGGACGTGTGCACTTAGGACAGGGTTTTACTGACAGCGAGGCGTTCCTCGTTGAGTCATGGTCTGGCGTTTCAATAGCCATTCCATCACTCATGCATTAAGACTCTATTTTCTGACATTCAAGAGTTCCCAGAAGTGGACTTCTTGTTAATACTGCCCTCTTACAAGTCTTCGATTGAGCACAGAGGAGCAGTGGCGTCCACAACGAGCTCGTCCAAGGCTCCTAAAGCTGATCAATCCAGAAATGCTAAAAGGAGCGGACAGTGCATGAATCAATCGGCATGATTTTAGTCGTAAAATAACAGGCTCGGCTAACATTTATCCCATCTGAGCATGTTGTGTGAAGCTTCCCCTTTAACGATCTGCCTATTTAACCTTAATTCACCCGCTGATCCGGTTCGAACACTAGTTTGGCCCATATAACAACTGTAGTGAGTTCAAGATTCCACGTTACCGAATACAGAGCTCAAGGAATTGTTCAAATACGGATGTTTTCCATAAGGTTGCATAATTTCCCTGCACATTTTCAAATTCGATTCTATAATTCAGAACGAGGCAATAATCTGATTAAATGTACATAAGCATCATTAAATGACTTTGAAATGTTCCAAATATATACAAAGTGTCTTGCCCTGATTTTTCAGAACGTCAGGAACAACAGATATACTATGCGTGTAAACAAATATCTACTGGTGTAGATCATTTTAAGTCTAATAAAGACTTCCACACTTCCCGCACCTAAAACATTCCTTCCTGGCTATTGGAAGCATTATTATTATTATTAATATTCACGCATTAATTCTGATCGTCAATTCCACCTGGCACTAATGTAAACTACAGAAAGGACAAACCACTG